TTGGTCCAAACACAAACAACTCACAAGTCTTGTACTTCACGTCGTGCGATGAGTGATTTCAAGCTACAAGCAAGTGCTTCAGACGTTGCCTTGGACTGACAAGACCAAAGTAGAAGTCGCGAGCCGAACGAAATCTTCCGCTGATTATTTTAAGAACGCATGATGAAAATTGATAGGCCTAACTATCTGTTGGTAACAAGTCAGAATGTATAAGTCAAGTCACAAATCAAAACAAGCCAGGTCACGAGCCACAAATACAGCTAATCTAGTCTGACTCGAATCCAAGTCAAGTGACTCGCGTCGGCAACTCTGATATATTGCCTGTCAAGAAATTCATGGGTTACTTATGACGAATCAACAAACGATCACCTCATTCTCGTGAAGTCCAAAAGTTGTAAGAGTAACTTTAATTTCGAACACGCACTTACCTGTGGTCTCGTGACACATGATCTGTGCGGTACGTTTGAAAACAGCTCTATCGAATTTTATAATATACTCGTAGCATGTGAAATTTATAGCTACCTAAATGAAAGAAATGAAACTTTTGGATCGTTCGAAATATTGCCTCCCGGGGATAATTCCCTCACCTTTCCATGGAAAGGCCATGCCCGCGAATTTACAATTATGACGTGTGAACAAAGCATCCAAGGGAATCGAGCTTGATACAGTTTGCTAGTTCATTAGCGTTGAATTTCCCGGAAAATCTTTTCTTCTCACTTCAGTGAATTTCCATGGTCACCGATAGTTCTTGAACCTTGAACAAGTCAACTGTATCAACCAAAATCACAAGCAAAAGGATAAACCTCAAACCAACAATTTTATTTTAATCCCAACAAATCATTTGACACTTTGATTTTTGCTCACTATTCAACTAAATACAATGGACATTTTGGAACCAAGGTGACTAAAGCCCGATACGTCACTGATGACGTCAGTCCCACTTGTGCTTTTAACAAAACAGGACTTTGTGGTTTCTATAATTCAGTTTTACAATTGATCGTAAGAGTCAACATAAATCAAAGCTTGCTTTTTACTGAGGTATATGACAGTCACGTAGACCTCACAGGTACTGCTCCATAAGGCTACAAAATTGGAGGACTCACTTACGAGAAGTAGGTCAACAGTTTTTGAAGTTCTCATTACCTGACAGTTCCCGATATTGCCCACTAGGGAAAAGAATTTGCAAAATAAACATCAGAGATGCATACATGGGAAAGGAACAAGAAACGTCATGTTACAAGCAAGCCACGTGTGCCCTTTCAGTTTAATACACAATAGTATCACTGTTTCTTGAAAGATACTCCTCTTTTGCTGTACAAGAATTTATTCAGGCTGCATACAGCCAATGAGAATCAAGGACAAAGATAATTACAGCATCCACATATTGATGCACGCAAACTTCAAGAAACCTCTATAGACGCCTTTTTATTGAAAAAAAAATGCCCTCGACTGACAAACACAATTGTTTATTCACCCGACAACTGCACTTTTTACAACAGTAGTACAACGGTAGAATCTTCTGTTAGTAAACGGAGAGAAATTGACAGTAGAATGTGCTGTCCCAAAACAGCAACTTCTGTAAGGCCAATTGACAGTAGATTCTACTTTATTTAAAAAACATTCGTTTAACAGTGCAGAAAGAAGATGTACATAGCCAAAGCCTTCGGCAGAAATTGACTGTTGAAAAAGTCGGATCGCATATATCTATTGGCGTTAAATAAAAATGTGACTGCTCGGCATATTGAATAAGCTTTTATGGTTGTTAATATGGGGGCTCATCGTGTCAATTGTTATTTTTATCTGTGGAGTTATATTATCTCATCTAATGACGTCCTGTGTAGACCACGTGGTATCATGGTATCAGTAAAACATGCTTATGCAGTTAAATTAAAGCCCGGTAACTAAACACTTTGTTGAAGAAGTTCCTTGAACATGAGACCGGGAAGACCGTTTACCAGGTCAGTCATATCCCCTGTGCCGGTGGTAAAGCATAACTTTCGAAAATATTTATTCGAATCTCGGAATCTTGTAAATGCATGTAACGAATACGTTGATTGGTTTGTTGTATTTCGAGGGATGCTGATTGCCAAAATGCTCATTTTGACTGTATAAGCGTTCATGGCCGATTCAATAATGTTCAATGTTTCCTTTTCAGTTTGCAGTAACTGTTGGTAACAACCAGTCTTTGTTTTAGAAGATATACACATGAGCATGCGCAGTTTTTGATATTTTTCCTCTAAATGTGTATCCCTTGTTTGTTCAGTCGTTCATTAATAATTGCGGAACCGTTGCCTTTTCTGCATCGAGGAACATTTTAACATGTAATATGCAGCATGGGTGATAAAAGATAAGATGATAGAGATGAAATATAATACTTCATGTCCCATGAATAATATGACTAAGCTAATGGTAAGCATGCAGCTGAATGGCTCCATTCTTTGATCTAACTAAACGTTCGCCATCGTTCACCACCGTTCACAGTGCACAGCTTTACCAGCTCTTATGTACAGTATCAAACTTTTGCTGAAAAAAAGTGAAGCATAAGAGACATTATTTGCGTAAAAAATATATTTTCGCCGACTTCAGAGCTGAATTTTTAGTTGCTATCTCTGCTATCATCGCAAAACGGGTACAAGGACTTAAACACACAAAGGAGGCTGTTGTGACTTGTGCGCAAAATCCAACCGTAGTTATCAAAACGATTCGATATGTGATCCTGATGTGATATGACCAACAGCTGGTGCTCGCGAAGTTGACTGCGCAACAACTCAAGAATGTTAATCTTCATAATGGAGTCTCATACGTAGCCAAACTGTATACCGTTTGTGACCGTCATCTTCCCGATGCTGCTTTGTTCAAAGACAGCACGTGTACACTGTAAAACACTACAGAGTAAACAATTGGAATGATGCGAATGTAGCGTGCACATGCATCTGAACTTCCAAAGAGGTGCTTGTGGCTTGGAAGCACCTGTGTCCTTTTTTTCTCCATGGAAACATGCAGGGAGAACTGATGTAAGGGCGCATGACCGCTTTCGCGGGACTTGTTATTCTCTGAAAACTCTAGCAAGTGCAAATCCTACCTTCCCCTCAGGCTTTTCCCTGCCTCAATTGATTTCCTTTCCTGTTATGGTTGGATGAATTCACCATGAAACCACAAAGTACAAAGCAGAATTTTATTATAGGCTCACTGTAATGTCACATTGAAAGAATACAATTGACAAAGTCAAGGGACGATTCAACAAAGGTTTTTTGGTTCAGCTTCAATGGCCAACGTATTTTTTCCCTGCCGGCCAAGCCTCAATGCAGACCAGACTGCAAATAAGTACATGTTACCGCGTGTTCCAAATTCTGAAATCAATCAAGTTGATACACACAAACAGCATTGTCACCGTGTATAACTTTACTCAAACGCATTCTTCTGTTTGTTTTGAAAACTTCACTGTAGAATGCGCAATAACCCGCACGTCTGCTTGGTGCTCGCTGTTTGTGCATGTACTGCACATATTTTTTTCTCAGTACACCAGATAACAAGGCACAAATGCAAATTTACTTAACACAGGCCATATTTAAACATGGGATACCATAATGCGCGATATGGAGCATGCGAACTGATGTCTGTACGTGCCATATAATATTTATGAGCCATGACTTGGGGTATAGCTTATATCAATCTGAGGAAAATTTGTCATCGCAAACCAGTATCTGTGACTCCTATTAGTTTGGATGATGTCCTTGGAGTTATCTTTGAAGTGATTGTTTCTGTTTCAGTAAGGCATATGGTTAAGATATGCATCACTGTATGCATCAACGGGGCTATCAAAGTGACGCAGGGCGCATAAAATAAGTAAAAGGATATTAATTAAAAAAAACCAAATACCACGACTTCGAAAACAAATTTTCATCAGTTTGGAGTTCAGAAATTCAGCACAAATTTATTTATTTTCGTCCAAGAGCTATACATAATGCAACTCGGACTGCAACTTCATGTCAAATTACCGTTGAATGGAGGTCGCGGGAACGACCCGGCAGGGGTGACATGGCAGAGGTCAGGCCCCCGTGAAGATGGAACACCATTCCCATTTTGTACACGGATGTAATTTATTTGAATGTCCTCCCTCTGATGCTTCGTTTGGAGAACTTGTGGAAGTATGCATAGATGACCGACGACGAACATGGACGTGGAGCAAAAGCTGGAGCGTTCCCATGAACTTTTCACACAATATACATGCCCTCCAACATTTTGAAAGTCCTGTTCGTTTCGAGAACGGCAGTCATTTCAATAAATCTTAGCAATGTTTCTATGAAAATATTTGCTTAAGAAAATTTAATTTGGGGCTCTTTTGCTACTAAATTGACGAAATCGGGGTCTAAGTTAAAAACGACACATATTTAATAGCGAAAGACACATTAAGTTGAATTTTCATGCTCAGAAGAATTGGAGCTGTTGCTGCTGCCATTCAAATATCAGTGTATTTTACATTCAGTTGAAAATGGCAGTTGGGTAGATCAATGTTTTATGTTTCAATACTATCCACATGCGACTCACTGTTCATGTGCATGTCTGTTCTCCATGGCCCATTGAACAGGTATCGCTTTCAAAGCATGTGTGATAAAACATATTGAAATAAATTGCGACTGACATCTGGCAAGTACATGCACAGTGATCATCAAGTAAATTCAACGGCAATTAATTCATTTGCATAAATAACTTTGAATCAAATCATATCGCATACACGGCTAAACTCAACCCGAAAATTCAAACTCAACCCGAAAGCGAAGTTATCTGCTTTAAGGGTTGGCTGGACCTGTTGAGGTATCAACAGCGCGGGTGCAGCGTTTTGGTCCACTTAGTCCATTCAGCTGGATTTGAATAATAAGCTTTGTGAGGGAACACAAACCTTTTGTACCTGGTCCCCGGGTTGTGGTTGTACTCTGCACGTACATGCATATACATGTACATGTGTATACATGTTACATGTACATGCGCGCAACGCACAGAATTCTTTGGGTTGCAGACGGTGCGAAGCCACTCCTCCGCCTACGTACGTTCACCTGGCATGAATATTTGGTGGGCTGCATGCACACGCACTCAGAGTGTGCGAGATGACAGCCACACAACTAAAGCCTGAACTGGGGTAATCGTCGCAGACAACTGGTCCTTGAAATGTGTACTTTGTCGTGAGCGCTGCAACTTCATTAGTACGTTCCAACTTTTCCACCCGACCTGACTGTTTCTAGAGAACTTTGAGAAAATCTAGACCCACCAAAAACGAGTTTGAAAGATGGGGAACCAAGAGAGTGCTTCGGCAAGCATTCACGTGGAAGGCTCCGTGTCGGCATCGGGGGCCGTCGATGCAGGGGTATCTGCAGAGGGCCAGGCCCATGGGCCGCCATCCCCGAAAAAAAGGCGTCTGAGTTTCAAGTCACTCCGCAATGGATCATTTCGTCGTTCGTTTAAGATTCGCCGGAGCGGACGCAGAAAATCTCCTAAAGGCAAGGGCGAGGAGAGAATCGAAATGGAGGGGGATGTTTCGGGCGAGAAAGGTGCAGCGGCAAGGGCAGCTGCGAAATTGAAGGCGTCAGGCGAGGGGAAACCGGGTGAGTTCATCCAAGCATAATTCAGACTCTGACCGATCTTGCCTTAAAGGAAAGCGAGGGTTGTGAGGAAAAATGTGAATCCAAGAACGGTTGCATTTTATGTAAAGTATCTTAGCTTTTACTCTGTGAATTGCGTGATGCGTTTAAAACTACACTCTAACACTTTTTGCGTATACGTTGCAACCATAAAGCAAGGATGTAGACACACCCCATTGACTTCAGGTATGTGATCACGCAAAAGACACGCGGGGGCCCATTCAGGGGCTGGACACCATGGAATGTATATAAGAAAATGGCGTGCTTGCCAAAACATGGTGTGGCGACACTTGAAATCCTCTGACCGGTGCTTATGTTCAGTGTCTCTAAAACAATAATATTCACAATTTACATCAAATTGTCTCGTAACGTATGGAAGTTGAAGCTGTGAATACCAGCACATAGAAAAGTTAGTGTTCTTTCTCTCTGACACCAGCGAAACGCATTCCATGCATAATTGGCATTATGGTGAAATACTGGCCGTGTTATACTGATTTGATGACAGGAAGCGAAGTTAACCATTTCTTGCGCAACATGGTCTGAGGACTGAAAACGTTTTATGCTCAAATTGGACTAGTTCTATCTGGTCAAAGCCGTAATTGATGTCAACCTATATTTAAAAATAAAATGGCTACCGTTTGCCACTGACCAGGGAAAATCGACCTGGTTGCCAAGGAGGCAATGAGACTTGTTCGAACTAATAGAACAAATTTTCTTTTCCAACCTCCATGGTTTTATGAACGTCTGGAATTTCCAACACTGTGTTTTGCCATCTTCCCATTGTAAAGATAACTGATTATTTCCATTGCTTTCTTTAAACTTTTTGAAAATAAGCCATATTTCTAACCAGACTTGGAATCTAGTTTTATATCAGGAAATATCTTTAGGGAGTACCCAAGGTCCCACTATTATTTCAGAGAATTCATTGCGGACAAATACAGCATGGCCAAAATTTGGCGCCATTTGCTTTGCATCCCCAAAGTCCTGGCCATGTAACTGATAGAGTGTCCTTGTTTTGTTTTCAAAATCAATAAATCGATCGGGACGGGACGTGGTCTGGGGTGGACCTATATACTCCTTTAAGCTAGACTCTGTCAGGCAGACGAACATTCGGCCCTATTGATTTGTTTCTGTAGTAGTTATGACGTCACGGCGAAAGTTTATAAGATTTTCATGAGCAAAACTTCATAAGCAAAACCCTATAGCCAAGACAAGTTGCCCTTGAAGAAACATGATCCTTATACAAACACACCACCGACTATAAATGGTGTTAACCCAAACAAACTGACGTCGTGTTGGGATGGTTCCATTTTTTAGGTCAAGCTATGAAATCTTCAATCCCTGCTCGATCAATACGCAGGTACTGCAGCACCAAAACACCTCAAATTGCAGTTCCTTTAAGTTCTCCAGGTTCATCGAACTTTGCTCTATGGTCGAACTTTCTGACTTTTTTGTATGGACTTCACCATCAGTTGGTAAACCTGTCGAGCATTTCTACAGTACTTCTGGTAACAGAATTTTCGCCAAGGTTACGTACCCTGCAGGAGCCACCCACCAGCTCCACCAGTGAACTCGCCCTTCGGCACTTACATGGTAGTCTACCCGTATATATACTCCACACAAACCATGGAGATACATATTTGTATTCATTTAAAGTAAATACATGTACACCACACTAGTACATGTAACGACGGCAAATACAACGGCCAGTCCAGGCTGGATTCTGTCTACTCTAGAATATTGACCGAAAACATTGTAGCCCCGTTAAAGTTTAAGATCCATAGATTCGTCAAAATGTATAACATCTTTTCTTTGTCGACTGATATGGACTTCACCATTGATTGTTGTATACCTGTCAAGCATATCAAGAGAACTTAAGTAACAGAATTTTCGCTCAGGTAAAAATACCTAGGATATGCACACCCACCAACCCCATCGATGAACTCATCCTTTGGCACCCAGGGTATCCGGCATACTCCATCCCTTCCATGGAGATAAATAGAAATATTCATTTAAAGTAAATACACCGCGTTTACAAATATAGATAGCTACGGCAAATACGGCGGCTCGTCCAGGCACTTTTCTAAGTGTCATGTTTGGATTGTGTCTGCTGCTATAGAATATTTAACAGCAGGCCAAACATCTAACTGCTTCAAAATTTGTCGCTGTTGCATCTGCACCTGTTTTTACATCCAAGAAAGCGAGCACATTTTGTGCGAACCAGTAAAACGTATGCTACCAACACGTACAATGTACATGTTAAGCTTCGAAGAAGTTATCTCATGCTTAGTTACAGTTGTCGTCTGTGCTGTGATTTGAATAGACTGTGCGGCAATAAACGCGAACTCGAAACAAATTTACGACATTAAAGTAATTGATAATTTGGTGCACATTTGCAACGGTACGTTGCTGATATACGGGATACTGATTTGTGATTGATTTTTTGTGAGCCTGCGAGTTGGGCAGATGTTTGTTGAGCTGCTCAAAGTGGAATGGAAACATTTACGGGTACCGTTTCCTGATGCCTTTTTTAAAAATGTACATGCACGTGGTTCTGATAACAGATTATCAGAACATGATTAAGACAGAGCCAGCAAATTGTTCAATCCAACGCTACAACAATCAGAGGGAATCTTATACCAATGGTATTTTCCTGGTGAAGAGTCAGGCTAGTCGACCCCTCATTTACGCTTCCAAAAAGCATCGTCTGCACTCGCGCTTTGAAAGTTGGACTCATAAAAAAGACAAGGATTTCATGACAAATGAGTTGTCATGTTCTTGCTGTACATAATACACATGTACTTGCTCTGAGCAGATGTTGATCGTTGCATCTGTGACATTCATAAAATATCTGCCCATGGGTAGACCGACTTCAGACCCACTGTGCCGGACATCAAGAGCTGTCCAAACCGGCAAGTTCTGGCAGAAGTACTGGCAGAGTGGACTGGCTGTTTTTTTCTCAGAGTCGGATGCACAAGAAGAAGAAAATCAATGGGGCTCTAAAGGGATCTCAGATTGAAAAACCAAACGTGACAGTATTTTTTTGTTCCACACGTACAGTGCACAGTCATACAAACTCCTCAGGGCTGTACCTGAAAAAGACCTGGCGACTGTCAACGTACATGTATGTTCAGAATATTGCAGTGAAAACTTGGAAGTGTTTTTTAATACATAGGCCTATAGGAACAAAACACATCTTATAAGACGCGAAGAGCTTTCTCAGTTATCATAAGTGCAATTAAGTTGCATTAAAAATTTCTGTATTAAGAATTTTTAATTATTAATATTTTCTTTGCCTTTTTGCGACTCACCAATGGAAAGATTTGATATAGCTTTCGGATGTCACTGAATGATTTCGACTAAAGATCTGTTCAGCATATCACAGTTAGCGAAGTACCTGGATCCTTTCCACTTGAATGATATTATGTGTCCTGTCTGGACGCTCTGTGTATCACACAAATACCTTCTCCTTTAGTATTCAAAACGCTAACGTCCTTGGTAGCCTGTGCGCCGGGAGTTCTGTGGAAAAAGCTTCTACAGACAATTGAAAAAAATTGTTAAGGTTCAGACCTTGAGAATCTTGTGGTGTTGTCTGCGTTTCTCATTATAATATACTTGGAAGCCAGGTCTCGGTTGTTCATCACACCAGGAAGTCAACAGTAATTATTCAAGCCTAGGCAGCTTTTATTATGCGATACACGCGTATGCATGTCATTGTGAAGTTAATGATTTGTGTCCCATTCAACATTTGTGTTGTGTTTGGCAAATTTAGAATTTCTAATGTATGTTAATATATGCAAATAAGTCACTAAAATAGTTTGTAATTAATTGCGTTGTTAGAATGTCCTGATTACAGAATTAAAGTGCCATAGTATTCTAAATTTATTTGAAAAGCACAGTTCAACCTTACAGAAACAACCAAGATCAAGCGTCAAAATAACTTAAGTTGTCTGTTTTTGTCTAATATCACCTTTCTATTTGAATTTCAAAATCCAGTGACAAAGTATTTAAATGAAATTGTGTTAACACTTTTTCGGCAGTGATATATTTCCAAATATTGAAAGTTTCTTTGCAGGATTAGCACATTTTAAACTTTTGCAAAGCGTTCAAAGACAGCAATTGGATAGTGGCTACGTATATATTGATGAGCTGACGTAGTTTAGTGGGTTTTAATTATCGACACGAATCTTGATTTTTGTCCAGTCCGTTCAATCTCCCGTAAATATTTACTTTAAAAGTGACTTTTACTACGTTCAGTTATGTACAGGTACATGGAAATCTATAGTTTTCTGATGTGCGAGCCCGCCCAATATAACACAATGCGTGTTTGGCGATCTGTGTAAGAGTGAATTTAATCATGATTCCTTGAACCGCTTCATGCGCACCGCGTCCGTAATCCTCATACCAACACGTCTGTTCTGTTGAAAGTTTACCTACCCAACCTAAATACACACGTCATTTTAAAGGTCTGAAACATGTTCACAGCACGATGGAACCATAAATCAGTCGCAAACAAGTTACACAAACAAAGCATCACTTTGAAGAAATACCATACTACGCACAGGGTTGTGTACAAAATGTAAGCGAATGTACACATGTACTGTAGGGGCTGGAGCACTCGCTCATCTGGGTTCGAGGTCAGTTCATCTATGAGTGGACACTATTAGGCCTATGTACATCTTCATAGGAAATATTTTTCGTGACAGAGAAGAACACAATATACAAATTTTATTCAATTTATAAGTAATGCAGTGATGTTATTAAATATGACGTAATTGGCTCGAACACGGCAAGACTATGGCGATAAGTAATGTCATGTTAGTGGTCCAGAAATGTTTCTAAACTTCAGCCCTTTCGATGAATATTTTCCAAACGCTAGAGTGTAGAACCTGAGATAAGAACCAAATTTAAAACATTGCCTTGCCATGATCATCAAGTTGCACGTTCTGTAAACCTATAGGATT